TCTGCCTTCAGCTCAGTTCATGATCCCGGGGTCCTGGGATTGAGTCCCATGTGGGCTTCCCTGCTCAGCGGGGAGCCTGCTTCTCCCTCTCCCACTCCCCTTGCTTGTGTACCTTCTCTCTCTGTCAAATAAATAAAATCTTAAAAAAAAAAAGGATCTTCTTTCCCCATTTGCAACTTTAACAGTATGAGAAAATCTTAGAATTATATTTGAATCACTTTTAGGGACCTGTAAACAAGGAAAAGCATCATGAACTGTAAAGAGCTCTATCTCTAGACAGGTTCAGCTGTGGACTGCATAAACTCAAGCAAGTTACTTGGCTTCTCTCTGCCTCAGTTTCCTCATCCATAAAGTGGGGATAATTATGGTACCTACCTCATCAGTACTATGTACCCGGCACGTGGTGAACAGTTAATAAATTGTAGCTGTGGTATTGCAATCAGCCCTCCTAAATTGGAAGACAAGATTAAGGTGCTTGCATGTTTCCTATAGGTGTTGCTTGTTTGGGGCAGGTCAGCATCATGCACAATAGTTTCATACATTGGGTGCATGTGCGCTGGGTATGCTTCATAGAACAGTGAGGCTATACTCTAGCAGAATGCCAGGGGATGAAGGTCATGTGAGGGGAAGAGCAATGGTCTGAGAGGCAGGAATCTGAGTCCTGGTCCTAGCTCTATCACCAACTCTCGACAACCTTGATCAGTTAGCTCCCCACCTGGGGAGATTCCCTTTCCTTACAGTGACATGGGGAAATAGGACCAGATCATTGCTTCCCAATCTCAGCTCCATCCTTGAGCCCTTTTGCTAACTTTTTCTTCTATGGATCCTTTTTAAAATTTTTTAGATTTTATTTATTTGAGAGAGAGAGGGACAGCACAAGTTGGGGGGGATGGGGAGGGACAGAGGCAGAGGGATAAGCAGACTCCCCGCTGAGCAGGGGCTCAATCCCAGGACCCTGGGATCATGACCTGAGCCGAAGGCAGACGCTCAACTGACTGAGCTACCCAGGCACCCCTGGATCCTATATTTTAAAAGCTTTTGATTAAACAGAAATTCACTCCTTTTTTAAAATTCTTTTGAAAGATTTTATTTATTTATCTGCCAGGGTGAGGGAGAAATTCACTCATTTTAAAATGCTGATCAGAGGGCGCCTGGGTGGCTCAGTTGGTTAAGCGACTGCCTTCGGCTCAGGTCATGATCCTGGAGTCCCTGGATCGAGTCCCGCATCGGGCTCCCTGCTCGGCAGGGAGTCTGCTTCTCCCTCTGACCCTCCCGACCCTCCCCCCTCTCATGCTCTCTCTCTGTCTCTCTCTCTCAAATAAATAAATAAAATCTTTAAAAAAATAAAATGCTGATCAGATTGAGGGGAAGAAACAAGGTAATTAACCACCTCAAAAGACATAATTTCAGCGAAAAAGGGAAAAAAATTATTCTTGTCTTAGGGTAAATTTGTAGTTTTTTTTTAAGATTTTATTTATTTATTTGAGAGTGAGCACAGAGGGAGAGGGGGGAGCGGCCTCTCTGCTGAGCAGAGAGCCCAATGCGGGTCTCAATCCCAGGACCCTAAGATCATGACCTGAGCTGAAGGCAGACACTTAACCAACTTAGCCACCCAGATGCCCCTAAATTTGCAATTTTTGAGAGTTTAAAAAAATATGCATAAGGACAAGGCCATTCTTAGTATATGCACAGAGCCCTAGGCTTCAAAACGTCTGGATTTAATGATACCTGACCCTCTTTCCAGCTCTGAAATTCTGTCTTGGAACATAATTTTACTGTTTTCAGTGATTACAGAGCTTCATTTGATAACATAGCATTGGCCTTGTCCATGATTTTGTTTGACGTCAACTTGTTGGGAGAAATGCAACCTCTCATTGTCGCCTTGTGCTTAGAGGAAATGTGATCCGCTTTAAGTGTGCAGGCATGTGTTTGGGGTGAGAAGCAAGAAGGACGTGTTCAGTTGCATGGCACCACTGGGCTCAGAGGGTTCCAAGAAGAACAGTTGCTAGAGGCTGGGGTGCTTGTAGTGAACCCTGAAGCCCGGGTTGCCACCCAAGCGTCCCTCTCCTTGGTTTCTATTATCCTGAGCAGTCTCTCCAACCCACCCCATTTATTTCCATGTCATGAATTTGCCAGAGAGACCGGGGCCATTTGTTCTGCTAAATGTCCGTCATTCCTTGTGGTGGCGGCTAACGTCTTCCTTTATCATCTGTATTTCCTATAAACGAGTAATTAAATCTAGAGGCTCATTTAATTCAGTTTCACTGTTTTAGGAAGAGCCCTTCACAGGCAGCATTGTGTATTTCCTGTTTCATATGTAATAGTGGTGTTTATTGGGTGCTTTTTATGTGGCAGGCATTGTGATACTTTACAAACATTAATACTTTGAAGGGGTAGCTTAGTATTTACTTCATAATGATAAACTTAACTCTGAATCCAACTAGATCAGAGGGAGACAGGGATATATGGACTCCAAAGAATTGCAGCAAGTGAGAACCCGAAGATCACAAACTCTGAGAGCTGGGGGTGCTTCTGCAGGGACAAAAGGAATGGTGTAGATCAGATAAAATGCAAAACCAGATTTATCAGAATGGCCTAGAGTCTTGCTGGTCTTGTCATTCCTGGACACAAAACACCGTGGCTTTCACAATAACCACGCTGTCTCTCTCCTCACCAAAGTGCCCATGCTTGCCATCCAACCTATCCGTATTAACCACGCAGATGACAAACTGGGAGCCATTTCAGTGGGGTCCAGCATTTGCCATGGACAAGATGTCAGGACCCATAGTCTTCAAAATGAAGTTCTCATCAGCAAAGTTCTCCCTGCTAATTGGATTTGCCACTGGTACCACGATGTGTGAATTCATCACCCCAACACATAAATGCAAGGCATAAGTCTGGGAAAGCAGGAACCAAATCTAAGCAGAAAGCTTCAGGTATCTTCCCAGGGCCTAGAGAACCAAAGTTTTCTGCTTTGGAATATTGTCTGCAAACAGCTTGAGGAAGACATGGCCCAAGACGCCTATTAGTGGTCATATCTGCGCATGAGCATGCTATTGGCTCAGCAAGTCCGCAAAGAGGCCAGTATGAGTTTTTCAACAACAGCCTTGCAGAGCAAATACTGTTCTAATTCTGATCTTATAGATGGTGAAACCAGGCCTGGTGCTCTCTTTTATGCTGTGATGCTTGTCTGTAGGGATGGGGGAGTTCTGACAGTGAGGGAACAAGGGGACCCTGAAGCCTCAGTAGAAGAGGTGCCATGTGTTGTGTGTTTTGTCCTCCTGGCCAACACCCTCTGCTCTTGCCTTTTCTCCCTCTCCTGGTTGATTCAGCACTGGCCCCAGCTGCTCCTCAGAAAAAAAGAGGATCACCTGTCTTGAAGCAGGAAGGAGGAAGCCACACCTCTCTTGTCCACTTCTCGGGAGCCAAAAAAAAAAAAAAAAAAAGTAGGCTCAACTCCCTCAGTGAACAGGGAATCCAAATGAAAACCACAATGAGACACCTGCACGTGTATCAGGATGGATAGTGTGAAATGGATGGACAATACAGAGGGTTGGTGAGGATCTGAACGACTAGAACTCTCAAGCACTGCTGGTGGGGGTGTAAGGTAGTACCACCACTCAGGATAACCATTTGTCCGTGACTGGGGCAAAACGTATGCCTGCCCTACGACCCAGCAAATCTACGCTTGCACACGACTCTGTAGTGACACCGCTCATGCAGCCCGAACAGGAAACTAATCCAAATGCCCATCAACAGGCATCCAACGGAGAGTCATGCAATGAGATACTACACAGCTTTTAAAGGAATGGACCGCTGATACACACATGATACACACAATCTGGGAAGCCTCGCACAAACAGGTATATGCTGTAGGTTTCCATTTCGATGAAGTTCAAAAATAGGCAAAACTGGTCTAGGGTGATGGTGGTTTGAGTAGTGGCGATCTTAGGGACAACAGGCAGAAGTCTGGGGCTAAAAATGTTGATCTGGTGGTGGTTACATGGGCATATGCATAAAAATGTGACTTAAACACAGGATTTGTTCTAACATTACTGAATATAAGTTAAATATAAGTTAAACCTTGGGTTAAAAAAATATATAGAAAAATTGGAATATATATACACAGGAACTGGGCCACCCAGGAATTAAGCTGATTCATGGGAGTCCTGAGCCCCAGTTCTGTGCGAACCCTCTCCCTGCCCTGTGATCTTCCCAGACTCTACGTGATGGTGGTCTAGACCCATACAGCTGGGCCTGAAGGATGGCAAAACGGGATCCCTGTGTTCCTGCTCTTTGTCCTTCTGTCCTAATTAGACCCAGGACTAATATTTACCTTGTGGAATGCAAACAGAAAATGGGGGAGGGATGGGAGCAGGGCTGGGCGAGGGGCAGCGTAGGACCGGCGGCCACTCCAGGCCTGGCCCCAGGACAGGTAGGGAGGAGGAGAGGGAGGGGCCCTGCCGAGGAGACCCGAGGATTTGGGCTGGTCCCCGTTCTGGGGCCAGAAGCAGGTCCAAGGAGGTGCGAGAAAATAGACCAGAGGCTCAAAGGCTGTGGGCCTGGCTCCTCCTCCTGAGCAGCCACTACGTGTGGATACACCTCCCCAGCTCCCGGGTGGGAAAGTGGTTGAGAGGCAGCTCTCATCTGGCCGCACCCTGGTCTCAGCTTTCTCAGATCTGTGTGTTGTGATTACATCAACCTCCCTACTGGTTTATGTCCATATACCTACTGATTGTTAAGCACTTACTACATTTCACGGGCATTACATTCATAATCTCCTTTAGTCCTCACAACAAAGTACTGTTCCCATTGTACAGATGAAGAAACTGAGGCTCACAGAGATCAAAGTAATCATCACCATGTGTTAGGATTGGAAGCAGCCTCAGGAAGATCTTGTGACCCCACTAGCCCAAGCTGGCCCACGTCTCAGGAGGGAGGGGCTGGACGATGGTGGTTACTTACACTGGCCTTTCCTTTGTGACTTCCTCCCAGACCATCTGTCCCTGGTCCCAAGAGGACCTGTCTTCCTGGATGGCGGAGTGGACTATCTATACACTAGTCCCATGGCCCTGACCTGCTGACCTCTCCCTCTTGGCTGATTTCTTCATGTTAGTTCAACATTAACCCAGAGTGGTCAGGACAAGTCCTCAGAGTCCCAGGAGCTGACACACTATGGCGCACATCCGAGGCCTCTGGGTACCTGGCTGCCTGGCCCTAGCTGTCCTGTGTAGCCTTGTGCACAGCCAGCATGGTAAGAGGGGCTTGGAGGCCGGGACAGGCTGACAGGCTGGGATGTGGGCCCATGGGCCGGGGCCTCCTGGCTTGACCGAGAACAACAGGGCCGACGCCCAGGTGGGTCTCAGCCTACAGCATACAGCTTAGGGAAGGAGTCGGGCGCTAAGGTCTGGATGTACTGCGTCTCTCCTGCCATATGGAGAGCGGGCTATCCAGCGCATAGAGGGGAGCTAGTGGGCTACCGTCGGCAGCCTTCTGGGTCCTGCCACCGTCCCAGACGTCCCCTTTCAGAAGCCGGGAGGGCAGGCAAGGCTTGCTTCCGGCCCCCATGGTGGCCAAGACCGCCTGGCTCACTGAGGCCACTGTCCCACGCCCCTCCTACCACAGTGTTCCTGGCCCCTCAGCAAGCACTCTCGATGCTCCCGCGGGCCCGCCGCGCCAACAGCGGCTTTCTGGAGGAGTTGCGCAAGGGGAACCTGGAGCGAGAGTGCGTGGAGGAGCAGTGCAGCTACGAGGAGGCCTTTGAGGCCCTGGAGTCTTCCACTGCCACGGTGAGGGCTGGGCTATGCACCGGGTCGGGGTTGGGGAGGGGTGGGCCAGGTCCCTCCAGGTGGGCCCAGCAAGGGATGTCCCAGCTCTTCAGCCTCATTTCACTGGGCTGCCGAGATGAGTGACCTCAGCCCTTCTTGGAGGCCCAGACACCTGGGCTATGTCAAGGTCTGGCAGCCTAGTGAGGCTCCAGGTCATCGGGGGCTCCTCCATCTTCTGATGTCTGTCTGCACTGGGGTCTCTGGAGGCCCCGGCCCTCATGGCTTCAGCCCTGCTGCTACTGTGGGGTGTGGGACTCTGGCGAGGCCTGAGGGTTCCAAGAGCTCTGTGCAGCCTTTCCCTTCCTCAGGGCTTTCCCTGGGCCCCATGTCCCCCGTTCTTCAATCTAGCCCACCTATGGGAACCCTTTTGGTCTTGGTTGGCAGGGGGCTCCCTTCTCCTCAAATACTCCTCTCCTCAGTGGGTTTGGGCTTCTGGAAACAAAAGTAAGAACCTACCACAAACCTCCCCAGAGCCTGCCACCTGCATGACCAGGGTAAGGGAAAGAGGAAAGCATGAGGGGAAAATATAAAGTCTACTGAAAAACAAAATGAAATGAAACAGGATATGCCACACCCTCACGCTGGCTCTTATTTTTCAGGATGTATTCTGGACCAAGTACACAGGTGAGCACTGGGAAGGGTTTGCTCCTGGAATGGAGTCCTGGGGACCCCAATGAGAGAATGTTCTACTCTGGAGAATCTTCTGGTCCATCCATCCATCCATCCCTCCACCCATGCCTCTTTCCCTCCTTTCTCCCTTCCTCCCTTCCTCCCTCCCTCCTTTCCTTCCTTCCTTCCTTCCTTCCTTCGATCTCTCTGTCCATCTCTTTGTCTCTGCACTTTGTCCCCCCCACCCTCTACTTGAGCCCCTCCTGTCCCTACCCCAATCCCAAAAGTGTTTCTGGGTCTTTTCCAGCTTGTGAGTCGGTGAGGAAACCTCGAGAAAGGCTCATTGAATGTCTGGAAGGTGAGGAGCCGATGTGGGGATGGGGGGCAGGGTGTGAGCAGACAGCCTGGGAGAAGAGCAGAGTGGGGTGGGTTAGGAGTTGTGGCCCAGCATCTGACCTTGCCGTTCTGTTCCTGCGGTCAAGGATGCCTTTGCACCTGACTCTGTGCCCGGCAGTGAGGAAGAGGATTCATGTTGGAGGAACAAATGCATGAATGGATGAGGAATTCATATTTAAGGCCTCATTCTCATGCGAGCCCCCGCCAGTCAGTCTTCCCCATGTTCCCAGGGCAGAGCCCTGATGAGGTCACATTCATTCTTCAGAACCTTGGGTGGCTCCCCAGTGCCTCCAGAATAAAGCACAGGCTTCTTAGCCTGGCAAACTTGGCAGGTTCTGGCCTTAACCTTCCCTTCTGGCCTTATCTCCCATTGCACCAAAACATGGACCCAGACCCCCAGCTACTCTGACAGCAAGCACTTCCCCGAACATGACAACATGTGTCTGCCTCCTGGCCTTTGCTTTCATTGTCATCTTCCCCGGGAACAACTATACCATTTCCTGCAAACTTCCCTGTCCTACAAGGACTAGTTCAAATGCCATCACCTTGCGGAGCCTGCAATGAGCCTCCACCCTCCTCCCCAGTCTTCTGAATACACCTTTAAGATAACAATAGACCGCAGCTCTTAACAGTAACTCTTTAACCACTTTTTAACATACTTCTGTTTGTTTTTTTTTCCATACTTTTATTGTTAAATAACTTATTCAACAGGAATTTTACTAAACCCCTGCTCTGTACCAGGCACTGTGTCATGTGCTGGGGATTCTAAGAGAATGAAGGAGCTCCCAGTCTCATAGGGAAACAAAAATACAAAATATCAGTGTAATCGCTGGAAAAGCTCTGTTCTAGGTGCCAAGACAGTGCCAGGAGAAGGAGCATTTAGTTTGCTGGCAGGATCAGGGACAACCCCCCAGAAGAAGCAGAGTTCCACCTGGATTTGTGGGATGCACTGATGAGCACACCCAGGCAGAGGAAACAGCTTGTGCAAAGGCCCTGACACGAGGATCTCTGATAACAGGCGGGTAGACTAGGGCCAGATTAGAAGGACCGTGTTCGCTTTGTCATCCTACTGGCCACGAGGAGCCACCGACTATAAGCTCCATGAGGGCAGGGACCTACCTTGACTATGTCTTATTCTTCGCTATGTCCTTAGTGCCTGGCACAGTGTCTGACACACGGTTGTCACATGGGTGGTGGGCACTCATGTGACACACTTGGTGAGTGCTGTGAGACAGATTGGTGAACTGCTGGGTACAGAGGAGGTAGCTGAGGAAATGTGGGTTAAGGGTCATGGAGCAGAAGTAGCTTGGAGGAGGTGGACAGACAGGGCTTTGCTAAGTGAGAGAGAGGGGACAGGGCCTCAGGGTAAGAGACCGGGGCTGGGGTCTCTGCAGGTAGCTGCGCTGAAGGTCTGGGCATGAACTACCGCGGGAACGTGAACTTCACCCGGTCAGGCATCGAGTGCCAGCTCTGGAGGAGTCGCTACCCACACAAGCCTGAGTGAGTGACGGGCTGTGGGCCAGTGGGCTGAGAATATGGGGCTGGCAGACACTGGACGGGGGGTACGGCCTCTGCTGAGCAATTTCCTATTCCAGAATCAACTCTACCACCCACCCTGGGGCCGACCTGCAGGAGAATTTCTGCCGTAACCCGGACGGCAGCACCACTGGGCCCTGGTGCTATACTACAGACCCCACCGTGCGGAGGGAGGAGTGCAGCATCCCTGTCTGCGGTGAGCGGGGGAGGGCTGGGCAGCCCATGGCCAAGGCGCAGGGCTCTCCATAGGGCCTGATCCTGGCTACCTTCAAGCATGGGTTAGTCATTCACAACATATTTGGGCCCGTGGGTCAGTGAAGGCAGGAGACCAGAGATAGCTGGAAGAACCCTGCCTTCCCAGGCTTTGCTTCCTTGTGACCCAGGCTGTGGCTCCCTCCAAATATGCTTTCCTTCCTGCTCGAGGCCCTCTTCCCTCCAGGAAGCCCTCCCCAACTATTTCAGTCCACGTGCCCCTTTCTGAGCGCCACAGAGCAAACCTCATATGGCCCGGCCTGGCGTGATGCTGTCATTATTCTTTCGCGTGGTGTGTCAGTGAGCTCTAGCCACAATAATGCTGCAAACCCCACAAAGTCACAAACAGCCACAAAAGCTCAGGGGATTCACCAATAAGCATTTCTTTCTTGTGTCTGAGGGTTGGCTTGGGCGGCTGAGCTGCTGTTAGCTGCGCTTGCCTGTGTCTGCGGTGGCCACTGCTGTAGGCGGGGCTTGGCTGCCCGTTCCGCTTCCGGCGTCGGCTCCAGCTCCAGCTGAGCTTGGCTCCCTGTGTCGTTGGGTCCTGGTCTGCTCCACATTACTCATCCTGGGGCTGAGGCTGAAAGGCACCATCTCCCTTTGGCAGAGCCAAAAAACCTATTCAGACACACACAATGTGTCTCAAGGCCTGGGCTCGGAACTGGTGCATCCGTTCTGCCCACGTGCCACTGGCCAGGGCGAGCCACATGCTCACGGCCAAAGCCAGCAGGTGGAGAAGTCCACCTTTGCCTATACAACCACGGGGCAGAGGAGGTGGATCGAGGCGGGGGTACTAAAGAATTAGTACCAGCAATCAATCTACCAAATATGGGTTGGTGTTCTTTGTCCGCCGCATCCCTGTTGGACCCAATACTTGGTCCTGCGACTGGTCTTACAGCAAGGGACCAGTCATGATAACAAAAGCAGCTACCATATACCAAGCCTGCCCACCCCCAACACTGGGCAGGCCTGCTGAGATTGACTTTCTGCGCATGTAGCCATCTCAGTCATCCCAGCTACTTCTCCTGCTGTGCCCCTATAAAAATAGACTCCTTCTGTAAAAACTCCAGGCAGTCACTACCAGTAGGTTACAGATAGCCCCGGAGGTGAAACCGAGTTGCTATCTCTGCCTCATGATGCACCAGACACAGCATGTATTTTGTTTAAATCTCTCAACCCTGCAAGAATGGTATCAGTCACCCCTTCTATAGGCAAGCAAAGTGAGGTTCAGAGAGGTCAAGTTACCTGAGGTCACATAGGAAGAAGGTGGCAAGGCAGGGAGTCAAACCCTGACCCCCTGGCCGCTGGTGGTCCCACCCCACCCACTCTGCTCCCCTGCCTCCCCACCCACCAGGCCGGGAGGGCGTCACTGTGCAGCTGACCCCACGCTCCAGAGACTCCACGGTGAATCTGTCACCTCCATCGGAGCAATGCCTCCCTGAGCGTGGCCGGTACTATCAGGGTCGCCAGGCGGTGACCGCACTTGGGTCCCCCTGCCTGGGCTGGGCCAGCAGTCAGGCCAAGGCCCTGAGCAAGGACCAGGACTTCAACCCTGCCGTGCCGCTGGTGGAGAACTTCTGCCGCAACCCGGACGGGGACGAGGAGGGCGCGTGGTGTTACGTGTCGGAGGAGCCCGGTGGCTTCGAGTACTGCGACCTGGACTACTGCGGTGAGGCGGGGC